AAAATGTCAATATTTCACAAGATACAAGGTCATTTCTTAATAATGTACCTAGAGATAGAGCATTTTTTAAATGAATCATTAATAATAATAATAATAATATAATTTTTTTTTTAATTAATGATTTTTTCATCCAAAAAATTTGATTTTAGTTAAAAAAATCAATTTCTAAAAAAAATTAATTTTTTCTAAAAAAATTGATTTTTTTAATCTAGTTAAATAATTAATATTTCAAATAAATAAAAAAAGTTTGTTCTTTTTTAATTAATGATTTTTTTCTAAAAAATTGTTTTTTTTTTTTATTTATAATATTTACACTGAAAAAATCAATTTTTAAGTTATAAATTAACAGATAATAAATAAAATACAATTATTTAAATACCTGGTTCAAAATTACGTTTCATTCGTCTCCATTGTCTAACGTAAATAATTGCCGAACATCCAGCAACAATAAAGAAAATAATACAAGCACAAACAGCTAATACTAGAGCACTTGTCTGCCAATCCCATGCCACATTAATACTTTCATAATTATTTTTAGTTAATTTAATAGTATCATTTACTTCTGACACCTGAAAATAAATTTAATAGTTTTTATTTTTTTTATATAGCTCTCCATCAAGTACGCTGGTACCAAAATATTAAAATTTTTTTATTATAAAATAAAATTGACAATAATTAAAAATACAACTTTAAAGAAAAATTTAATTTAACTAATTAATTATTTTAAAATTAATTTTTAATAATTTATTATTTAATAAATATATAAAATATCAAATAGAAGAAAAAAAAAATATAAATTTTAATTGGTAGTTAATAATACTAAAACTAATTCTCTACAAGCGAAAATCTTTAGGAACATTTCGCCACCTAGCGGCCGCCACGGAACTAATTATTATTTTTTTTTTTTGCTAAAATTAAGAAGAATATAAAATAAAAGAAGAAAAGAATATAAATTTTGAATAATACTTAATATTATTCAAACTAATTGTCTACAAGCGAAAATTTTTTGGAACATTTCGCCACCTATCGGCCGCTGCGGAACTATTTAAAAAAAAAATTTTTTTTTTGATAAAATTAAGAAGATCATAAAATAAAATAATTTTTTTAATAAAAATTTGAAATTGAATTAATTAAAATATTTTTTTTGGTACCAGCAAACTTGTTTAAAAAATATTGTAATAAAATAATTACCAATAACTGTTTATCAATAACTTGATTGTTATAATTACTCCTACTGTGACTCTCAATTTGACTATTATCCATTTGTGTCAAAGCTTCTGGGTTATTTTCCGGTTGTGAAAATTGCCAGAGCAATTCAGATGCTTTCATATCGTCACTATTACTAACAGTATCATTATTATTATTATTAATATTATTAATAATATCAATATTATTGATATTTTTGTTGGTATTATGATTAAGAAATGACCAGTCTAATTCAAGAGCGGAAAGTGGACCACAAATGGCATCTTTATAAATGGCACAAGGGCTTATTGTGAATTCGGGTGCACATTTTGTACATTCAATACACGTTCCTTTTTTTATAGACCAAAATTCGTAGCCAGATCTACATCCTGCTGGAACTTTATCTAGCGACTCCGATTGATTCAGGAGACTTAACAAGCAGACCACCACTAGCCTCCAGTTTATTTCTTTTGGCATCACCTAAAAATGTTTTTTTAATATTTTATTACAATTTCTTTACAAGAAATTTTTATTTCTTCAGCTAATAAATAAAATTATTTAAAATTTTCAATAAATTAATTTTATTATTAGCAATATTGCTAAATCTAGATTATTAAAAGAATAAGAAAAATTTTGTGTACAGAAGAGTCATGCAATAAAATCGCTTTTTTTAGTGAAATTTAGTGTCATTGCAAAGGTCTTGAATTTAATTTGTGCCTTTTCATAATTTTATATCAATTTCATCGATAGACAATTTATGATTATAAGTATTTAGGCTACATTTAAAAGTGCTCTATCTCTAGATACATAATTAAGAAATGACCTTGTATCTTGTAAACTATTGACATTTTAGAAGATATAAGCTCATCCCGACATTACACTCATCAAGACCTTTCATTTGAGTACCCACATCAATTTTTCATATATTTATATATATTATATATGTATATATCAAAAATATATCAAAAATGCATGTGGGTATTCAAATGAAAGGTCTCAATGAGTGTAACATAGAAATGAGCTTATATCTTAAAAAATGTTAATAATTAATAAATTACCTTGTATCTTGTCAACTATTGACATTTTTAAAGATATAAGCTCACCCTAACATTACACTAATCAAGACCTTTCATTTGAGTACCCACATCAATTTTTCATATATTTTATATATTTATATATTTAACAAATACCATATATATAAAATATATATGAAAAATTACTATGTGGGTACTTAAATGAAAGGTCTCGATGAGTGTAACATAGAAATGAGCTTATATCTTAAAAAATGTCAATAATTAAGAAATTAAATTGTTTCTAGTGAACTATTGACATTTTTTAAAATATAAGCTCATCCCGATGTTACACTCATCAAGAGCTTTCATTTGAATACCCACATCAATTTTTCATATATATTTTATATATTTATTATTATATGTATATATGAAAAATAAATCAAAATGCATGTGGGTACTCAAATGAAAACTCTTGATGAGTGTAACATTGGGATGAGTTTATATCTTTAAAAACGTCAATAGTTAAGAAAATACAGTGCAATTTAACAAAAATCGTTATTTAATAAAACAAAATTTTATTTATTTATA